TACGGTTAGAAAGCCAGACAACTTCCATGGGAGACTGATAAGATTTACTTATTATACCCACAGGAGAGAGGACTTGGAGAATTAAAGCCATAATCTAAATGTACAGCTTACAGAATGAAAGTTAAGCATATTGCCCATCAAAGTCTCCATGAAAATATTTGGACACTGACTAGGGAGGAGTGGGACTCTGAGACTCAAAATGAGTGTTTTGAATATATTTCAAAGAATCTGAGAATCTTCAATCACCCAATTACTTTGAAACTTCCTTTTTCACAGAATTAGCTTTTCCTATCACAACTGAAATAATTAGCCTTCTTTTGCTTGGAGGCCCTATAATAATCTTGTTTGATGCAGTTTTTCTTGCAAGGACATGCCTGTTCTCCTTAAAGCCTGTACCTGTGATCATTCTTTGCCTGGAGAGCCATCACTATTGTCAGATCCCAGTGTGACCCAGGAAGACAGCGGCAAAGTTAGACCCAAGAGAAGATAGTTTAAACACAAAACTAATTACAAGATCTTCCTATTAACATTTGCATAAACTTTAAAAAATGTGTGGAATTGGACTCTTAGTGTGTTAGACCAAAGAAAACAGAATATAATGTTGGATAATGCCAAACTTACCAATATAGATGCAGTTACCAGAGAATACGAAGTGTCAGTACTTGAACAACAGCAAGTGGCTCCACCATTTTTCTTGGTTGTTAGTATGGAAGCTGGACACAATAATGACTTTCATTAGTAAGAATGTGATGCCCAAAATGCACCATCAAAAGCTTAAAGAGATGGCAATATTGAAGAGGATATTATGATGAGCAACCCATTCACCTCGACTCTTCCTTGGCGGAGAGTCCAGAGAATACTCTCTTTATGATGACATTAGGGAATGAATTAGCAAGAGGATATGTTTGGGAATAATAGTGAGAGATTTGTCCATTCCAGTGATCTCAGCTGGTATAATGTCATCCTAAATTAGCCAGATTAGATGACAGTAATAATCATCCTTAAAGCCTGTGCACATGACCACTCATTTCCTGGAGAACTATCACTATTGACAGAACCCAGTGTGACCCAAGCGTGACCCAGTATAACCCAAGTAACACTCATCCAACACAAGGTTGGAACAATTACTGTAATAGGCAACAGAACAAGATTAACGATAGGAATATTTTAACTCACAGAGATATCCATGACATCAGCTAATGAATCAGGAGGTACCTAGGAATGAAATAGATGGTCAGCTTACTAAAGTATTGCTTGAGCTATATAACTGGAAAAAATTTTAAATATCACATATCATTTATCTAATGCTGCAAAACTCACCACTCTGAAACCTAGTATCTTTACATAATCATTTTCTCACAACCAACGGATCAGCAATTTGAGCTAGTTTTAGCCAGATACTCCATTAACCTTGACCAGAGTTATTCACATTATTTTACTCATCTGGTGGCTCATCAATGCTAAAAGATCTGAAAATCTCCTCACACATCAGGCAGTTGGCAGGCTGAATATGGAATGCTTCAGTTCTCTTCTGTGGCATTTCCAGCTGGCTAGCTCTTGTTCACATATTATGTAGGTCTCAGGTTTCAAACCACAGAATACAATGAAAAAACAATTTTCCAACTTCCTCTTCCATCATATTTACTAACTTCTATTGGCTCAAGTAAGTCACATGACCAAGGCCAAATTCAAGTCTAAAAGCTGTATCCTGTATGGAGATATAAATTTTAAAAACATTACCATGTTGGTATCATTTAAAGCCTTGAGAGAGAAGAATTTTAGAAATTGAATCTTACGTTATTACAAGTTTTAGAAAATTTAGGTGCATTAGGAGGAACCATCAAGAGAACATCAAAAAGAATCCATCAGGACAGTAGAAAGAAAGAGGAAAAAACTCCATAGAAGGATGAAGTTCTAGCTACGTAAAGTAAGTAAGGAGAAAAGAGTAATCAATATCAGGTGAGATAAATGAGAATTTTAAAGCAACATAGAAAGCAGCAGTGTGGAAGTGACTTGTGATCCTGATAAGATCAGTTTTAGTGGAGGAGTCCAATTTCAGACTTACAACTTCTATTTCCATTTTTATGTCTTTTTTTATTATTTTTATTTATTTAACAAGCAGAGATCACAAGTAGGCAGAGAGGCAGTCAGAGAGACGAGGAAGCAGGCTCCACGCTGGGAGAGCCCGATGCAGGGCTCGATCCCAGGACCCCGGGACCATGACCTGAGGCGAAGGTAGAGGCTTTAACCCACTGAGCCACTGCCCCCATTTTTATGCCTTTTAAGGTTTTGCTCCATCAAATCTAATTGTCAGAAGACAAATAAAACATAACTATGATGCTGTATATTAGATCCCCAGAATTTGTTCACACTATAGCTCAGAGTTCGTACTCTTTAGCCAACATCTCCCGATTCCTCCAGTCCATATCCCCTTGCAACCACCATTCTACCATCTGCTTCTATTGACTGACTTTTTTAAGATGCCACATACAAGTGATATCATATGGTATTTGTCTTTGTCTGATTTATTTCATTTAGCATAAGATGTTCGAAGTCCATCCATGTTGTGGAAAATGATAGGATTTCCTTCTTTCTCATGGCTGAATAATATTGAACCATATATACATATCACATTTTCCTTATCCATTCATCAGCTGACAAATACTTAGGTTGATTCTTTATCTTGCCTTTTGTGAAGAGAACTGTAGAGAACATGAGAGTGCATTTATCTATTTGGGTATATATGCAGGATTACTGGATCCTAGTTCCATTTTTAATTTTTGAGGAACCTCCATACTGTTTTCCATAATGACCATATCAATTTATATTCCCACCAACATTGCACAAGTTTTCCCTTCTCTCCATATCCATGCCAACGCTTGTCATTTCTTTAATACCACCCATTCCAACAGATGGGGTGGTGATATCTCACTGTGGTTTTGCTTTGCATTTGCCTGATGATTAGTGGTGTTGAGCACCTTTTAATGTATCTGTTGGCCATTGGTCTGTCTTCTATGGAAAAAATGTCTTTTCAGGTCTTTTGCCCATTGCAAGGGACCAATAAACCCACTGGGATTATTTTGGTGGGGGGAGGGGTTATGGTTAAGTTGTAGGAGCTCCTTATACATTTTCAATATGAATACCTTATTAAATATATGGTATCTGATAAATAATTTTTGACATTCTATAGGTTGCCTCTTGATGCTGTTTATTGTTTCTTTGCTACGCAAAAGCTTTCCAGTTTGAAGTAGTCCTATTTGTTAATTTTTGCTTTTATTGTTTGTCCTTTTGGAGCCAGATCCAAAAAAAACCATTGCCAAGAACAATGTCAAGGGGCCTTGTTGCTTTGTTTTTTTTCGACATGTCTGTTAGGTCTACTTATTATTTCTTTAGTGGCATCATATTCGCCTGCTTTGTGATCTGTCTGGCCTTACATTTGTGTCTGTGTGTTTGAAGGAGCAAACACCTCTCCATCTTTACAGCCTATTTTTGACAGGTGAAGACTTTCTCCTGTCAGGCCCCTGGGCTGATGGGATTATCTCTGGAATCATAGTCTCCAAGGCTGGATGAAACTGGGTCACCTTGCTGCTGCTGGGTCCTCAGTTGGGTCTGCAAACCACAAGTCTATTATCAGGTACATGATAGTCCTGGCTCCTGCTGGGTCACTGGGCAGGTTCCTATATGGGCAGGACTATCCCTGAACCACAGCTGAGAGGGGATGGAGCCAGGTCACAGGGTCCATTCAGGATCCATAGCTGGACCATAGTCAGCCAGTCTGCCTCCTAGGCACTGAAGGGTGTGTCTTCTGCTAGGCCCCTGGGTGGGCAAGGCTGCTCCCAGACCATGGCTCATGCTGTACCCAGGTCACAGCACTTCAGGCTCTTCAGCCCTAACCAAGGTCAGCAGTCCTATCACCCAAGCCTCAGGTGGGCATGATTCCTTCCAGGTCCCTTGGCTGATGGTGTTATTCACAGAACCAGTGCCAAATAGTGACAGAGCCAAGTCCCCTCATCCAAGGGGATGAGGCTGTTTTCTGTTTAGTATCCAGGACCACGGTCAGTGAGCCTGGCTCTTCAGAGTGCAACAGGGAAAAAGACAGGCCTGGAAGAAAAATTAGAGCAGGCAAATTCTGTGCTTTATCTTTTGTGAAAGCAAGTCTTTCTTCTTCGGTATGTCCTTTCAATACAGCTCTCCTCAGCGGCTCCAATAACGTTTCTGAACCTCTTACTTGGAACACAAAGCTCCCACATAGAAACTTGTGTCCATGGATGGCTGCTAAAATGATTGTTGCTGTGGGGGGATATGAGCGGAGGACCCCCTATTCCACCATCCTGCTGACCCATAACAAACATTTTAAGGCCAAACTGATAGTATTCTCTAATAATTCTTGGAAGACCTATGATAGACAACACATCTTACATGGAGCTTGTAGCATCTTTCTTGGCACAGTAAAAATCCACATTTGATGTGTATCTCTGTGGTGTTCCTCCTGGGCTATGAAACTCACAGGGCATCTATCATAGAAGAAAATCATGCATCAGAAACCACTATGCCAAAGATCCTCAAGGGCCAGGCTCCCACAACTTGCCTGGTCAATTTCAGTCTTACAACTTCTACTTCCATTTTTATGTGTTAAGCCTTTGTCCCCAACAAATCTAATGTTTCAAGAGACATGAATAAAACACAACCAAAGTGGAGTGGAAAAGAGGGAATTTTAATTTATTCTCATTGGGCTGAAGGAAAGTAAGAAATGTGAATCCTGAAGTTTGGGATAGGAAACAAAGAACACTATTTCCTCTTCCTCCCTGACCATACCTTTCAAGTCTTCTCCCTGGTTTATCACGATTCTTGGAAAAATACACTTCACCACACCACACCCCCTGACATTGCTCAATATTTGCTTAAGTGAAAGAGGCTGAGGCAAGCTAAAGGAGGAGCTCTCGTTACCCTCTGCCATCACCCAATAAATAGCCAGACAAGTCCTCACCATTCCTGAACACTTGGAAAGATGAGACAATCTCACCAGCTGCCCCTACTGGGGCTCCTATTGTTTTCTCTTATTCCAAGACAACAATGTGAGATCTGTGGTGAGTATTCATTGAGCTAAAATTATTCCTTGTGTGATAGTTTTCTAAATTCCACTAGCAGGAGACTTGTTTAGAGTGACTTGAGAGAAGACCCTATTCCACCTCTATATGTGATGGTACTCTGAGTAATGTAAAAAGTGGCAGGACAAGGTAAGGAAAGTGCCATAATGTATGTTGTTTTAAGAAGGGTTGTAGAGGGAGGAAGACAAACCATAAGAGACTCTAAATCTCACAAAACAAACTGAGGGGGTATGGGGGGTGGGAGGGTAGGGATAGGGTGGTTGGATTATGGATGTTGGGGAGGGTATAGGCTATGGTGAGTGCTGTGAAATGTGTAAGACTGATGATTTACAGACCTGTACCTCTGGGGCAAATAGTACATAATATGTTAAAATAAATAATTTTTTTAAAAAGAGGGGTTGTAGATTCAATGCTAACTTGCCTAACTGTTCTTCGTATATTCAGATTTTCTCACCATAGCAACCCTACCAAGAAATTGTCTATTCTTCTTCATAATCAAGGATAGACTATTCAGGATACCAGAAATTTTTCAAGATTGTAGAAAGTTTTATTCTGAATTTGAGATGCAATCTATTTTTTTGAAGTTCAACTCAAGGGTTTTGGGTTATAACTGCACATAAAAAAGTAATGTTAATAATCCCTTTCAAATAACAAAGACTTCTCTCTTGTCATTATTGAGTTTAGATGTTCCAAGGTACACATCCCCCTCCCTCCTACTCACCCCCACAGGACATGGGTACAAGCCCATGAATGTACCTCTGGGTATAGGATCCCAAGATTGTGTAATTCTATTAAAAACTACTAAGTAGGAAAAAGAAAAACTGGTTCAGGTATAGTCTGACCCCTTACTAGCTGAATGATCCAATGTTTCTGAATATTTTTAGTTTCATCCATAAATTGAGGATAATTGAGGAAAGGGTTGGAACAAGTGATGTTATGAAGCTTGGTATAGCTCTCAGCTGCATGATTTCTTTTTTGTAAGTCTTTACCCTGGAATTGTGCTTAAACCCAGTCCAAAGATGACTATGTGGTGCCGTCGGTGGCTACATGCTCCTGGTGTTCTGGAGCCTACAAGAAGAGGTCAACACCACAGCAGAGAGACTTGTGTTCACACAAGCTAAAGCAGAAATGCTGCCAACTCTAGTTTTTCTTCCTGGCCTGTCATTTCCTTTGTTGTATCCTAAGAATAGGGGGTCTCTGTGGAGGTTTTAAAAGTTCAATCTATTGTACAGAATAATTAACTGTCTTAAGTGTTCAAGGAACCTGAACCAGTTTCAGGAACTGAAAAGTCTGTTTCAGTGCCAGCAAATCTGCTGAACTGGATGTTTCCATATAATCTCAGCCATGACTCAACAACTGTCCAATTGTTCTTCTAACAAAGAGGTACTTTTCTACAACCACTGGACCAGATCTCCCTGACTCTCTTTTAGAGAGAAGAAATATGGAGGGGTGCCTGGTTGGCTCAGTCAGTAGAGCATATGCTTCTTGATCTCAGGGTGGAGATTCTGATCCCCACATTGAGTGTAGAGAACTCACATTGCCTCGGTTCTCTAAATATAGTGATAGAAACTACAGTTGAGCTAAAAGTGATAACATGTGTGTATTTTACAGTTTATTAAGTGATTTTTTTGTCCAATATCTATAAAATAAAGGTTAATATCCATAATTTTAAAATGAGGAACTGAAGGTCAAGGAAGTTATATAAGTCACCCATAGTTACAAGTTAAGGGTCAGAGAATCCAGCCAAAGTCTAGCTGAAAAAAGAGCTCAGCATCCCACTAACCCAAGAGATAATTGGGAGATGGGTATGATTTTTCTTGGGAGTATCAACAAAGTACATTTTTTAAAATTTTAATTTATTTATTTTAAAGAGAGAGAGAAATAGTCCATGAGGTGGAGGGGCAGAAGGAGAAGGAGAGAGAGAATTGCAAGTAGACTCCATGCTGAGTGCAGAGCCTGCCCTGGGGCTCTATCCCACCACCCTAAGATCATGATCTGAGCTGAATTCAAGAGTCAGCCACTTAACCAACTGAGCCACCAGGCACCCCTGAACAAAGTACATCTAAAAATGTTTTAAGTAGTAACTAACTCTTTTAATTTTCCTTTCGTTCTTGGGATCTCTGGACTCTCTTTTTACTCCCCTCTACCTTCCACCTGAGATTTGGCATGTTGCAGGCTGAAACTAGAGGGTTTTCTGCAAGGTACATGCTGCTGAATAATGATCTTGATGTTAGGTCAGATGGGTAACCAGACAATTCAGCTCTGGGGTCAATCATCACCATAACATAGAAGTGTTGCCTTTTTTCCCTCTATATTAACCAGAGTTACAAGAAATGGATATGGGAAAGAATTCAATCTGGCAAGCAGACAGAACTACAGTTTGGGAGTCAGAAGACATGTATTCTAGTCTCCCTGACCATCCTGGTCAGGTCTCATCCTCAAAATTAGGGAATGATACCAGATCTCCCAGGCAGGACTGATATTCTGCCAGTACACAATAGTGAGGCTGAAACAGCTGTTAAAACATGGTAACACTTTGACGCTGGTTAGCAAGGAAGTAATACCTGATGTAGCAGAGACTCCAGACCCAATTTTATACTTTGCCAGCAACATAGCTAGTGACCACTGGATTGCACTATCTGTGCCATATCTGTTACTAAACATTTTGACACCAACCCTCTTCTTAGGGTTCCCATTCCTTAATATTTTCTTAGTGTGTATTCTTATTTCCTCCCTCCTCTGCCACAGAGGTAAGCAAAGAAAACTACACTGCTATAAACCCTCTGATAAGCACAATGATTGATTCAAAATATAGCAAAGGAATCCAAGCTGCCAATGTACTGCTATCCCTCAGACTTTCTGGGATCCTGAACCAAATCCAAGAACAACAGCTGGTTGAAAAAGTCAATCTCACTATAAGAAGTACAGGTGAGTACCATATTCCTGGAAGATTTAGGAGAAGACTTACATATCCATAAAGATTATGTCCAGCAACAGATCTTTTAACAAAATTGTGTGTCCAAAGTCTCCCTGCTACATCTTTCCTAGCTATATAAAAGTTGAAGCAGGCAGAAGGGTACCTCAAAACACCAATCCTCTGCTATTTACAGCTAGGCCTTACTTGTTTGTGTCCTATAAAACATTTTCCTTCAAAGAGTCACAAGGAAGAGCAAAATAAATTAAAGACTCTTATCCACTAATACTGTTCTATAAGTTACCTGAGTTCACAACCAGGAGGGATATGGCCCACATGTAAGAAACCGGACAATAGCAAGGAAACTGCAGGGAAATAGAGATGAGGACTGGGTCTTTTTGGTTTTTGTTTTCTTGGGTTTTGTTTTTTGTTTTTTTGTTTTTTTGCTTTGTTTTGTTTTTGATTCATCTTATTTAGAGAGAGGGGGGAGGTACAGAGAGAGAGGGAGAAAGAGAATCTTAAGCAGACTCCATGCTCAGCACTGAACTCAATCCCATAACCCTGAGACCATGAACTGAGCCAAAATCAAGAGTCAGTTGCTTAACCAACTGAACCACCCAGGCACCCCAGATGAGGACTGGGGTTGAATGCAGGCTAGATGCTGAGCCCTTCATGTCAATACGGAGCCTTAGCTTTCTAATTGAGATAAGGGAGAAATGAAGCCACCCCTACCTACCTCACAATATTATTCTAAGAATTACAAGAAACCTGAGAATTTTGATACTCTACAAGGCAGAACATCCAAGTCAATTATTACTATCTTGGCAAGATGGCACCCACAAAGAGAGTAAATCCCAAAGATTTATTATCTATTCTTTTCCTTTTAAAATTTGTATAAGGATTGCAGCATTCCCAAAACACCTCATGATTTCATGGGGAAGACTATGATCTAGCTGGCATTTATACAGCACTGCTAGAAAAATCTTTGCTTTGGGAATAAATAAGACAACATTAAAGTATTTATATAGAGTGGAAAAAAAGAGAGAATTGACAGGTGATGTAAGTCAAGAAAGACAGGATGCCAAAAAAAAAAAAATTACAAGCATGTACCTTGTTAAACTTGAATACTTTTCTTTTCAGAGCCATCTTTAACCTCAGGACAGCTTGCCTTGGCTATACTGGCTTTAGGAGCGTGTAAAGGGCCTACTGGAATGTCTATAAATTATTCTGAACTGGTCAAAGATCTAGAAAATAAATTCCAAGCAGAAATTAAAAATATGGGTGAGAATCAAATGTTCAGAGACCCTGGACAACCTTGTCTTCTCCTTCACTGGTTCAGAACTGAACAGTTTCCCCTCAGTCTTTCTTTCTTCTCTTCATTCTATTCATCCCACATCTGTCTGCTAATCACTTTCCCTTCTTCCCTCTTTCAACATGCATCTTGACTTTTCTTTTCAAATAGTTTCAAATGAGTATTGACTCTACATCAACCTTACATATGATGAACACACACACACACACACACACACACACACACACACACACACTCTTATAGAACACAGTTCTCTTGTTCTCCAGAAGCTTGGCTTTTAGACAAATAATGAAATACACCAATAATAGCTGAGCAACATAGGACACTATGTCAGAAGTACCCAAGCATCTGATATTAGCAGAAGAGATAAAGATGGCCAAAAGTGCTTTATCACTGGGAAGAATAGGCCGACCATGACAGCTGTTAGTGAAGTGCATTGATTTTATTTCAACACCCACCCAGTATTTATCCTATTACTCATTAAGCCGCACTCTGGTCCCATCTTCTTGTGAGATGGCCTCTGCTTCTTCTACTTATAGTTTGGACACATTTCCATTCAAAGTGCAAGAAGCTTAGTGGTGGGAAATCTGCATTCTAGTCCTACTTCTGTAACCACCTGAGTATCAGGATGGTATTTTCATCTCTTTAGTGCTGAGTCTCCTCAGTTACAAAGGAAAGGAACTGAGTTGAATTTGGTGGCTCTTAACAGCCTTTACATTTCTCAGGTTTGCTGATTGTATGAGTGATCTTTCTCCCTCTATTACTCACCTTTTCTTAAATATAAAGAAATTCTAATAAAGCCAGTAGGAATAGATTAAAAATGTATTACTCCAGTATTATTGCCATGAGTAAGGTATTTCTTTCCTCTCTGACAGAAGATCATAGTGGTAATCCACTGACTAACTACTACCAGCTCAGCCTGGACATTTTGGCCTTGTGTCTGTTCAGTGGGAATTACTCAGTCAGCGAAGTTGCTAAACTCTTCAATCCTGAAAATAAAAATTACTATTTTCATGGACAGTTCTCAGTAGGTGAGTCATTACACCCATTTCCCCTGGGATGGAGGACACAGTCACTGGTAAGTCTTTTCCTTTGAGTTTTTCTCAAACTTCTCAGTAAGTACCTGGATTTTCTTTAATCCTCTTTGCCCTGGTGATCAGGGGAGAGAATTTTCTTTTTGAGATGAATGGACATTGGGGCAGGGGGTGCATTTAAGCATCTTTCCAGATGTGTACTATAGTAGAAAGATCCAGTTCCTAGCCTACCCCTTCTTTGAATTATATAACCAATGGATATTAACTCTTGATCTTAATTTTCCCATCTGTAAAATAAGGATATATTGCAAGAATCTTTATATAAGACATTTTAGGAAGTATAAGTATAAGTATTAGAGAAAAGAGAATAGTAGAATAGTAGAATTCACTTATCTTAAATTTACCTCTGTAATTTACTGGGACCATTTGGATGTGTGGGCTTACTTGTACAACACAACCTCTCCAGGGACAAGGTCCAATATTTTGATCAATAAATTCTGTATCCCTAACAGAGAAGGACCAGAAATTTTCCCCTGGGTCAATTTACACATTCAAAAATAGCTAGTATTGTTGCTCAGCCCTTATGGATCCAAACACAGCTTATCTTTCTCCAGGGAACCCAAAGAAAATCACCACTCAATATCTCTAGATAATAAGGAGAATGTGAAATTTTTCATATTCTCTTTTCTATGGGAGAGGGAATGTACAGGGGGAACTAAATAACAAGCCAGAAGAAGACATTTTCCCCCTTGCTTGCAAACTCTTGGCCCATTTAAGATTTAATGGAAAACAATTCTCTTAAGTTCTATTTTCTAATCAGCCTAATGGAAACATTGGAACATTACAAAGATATGTTTTACTTGGGATTTCATCCTGAGTTCTCTCAATTCCTTTGCCAATATGGCTGAGGTGGAAAAAAAAAAAAAAAAAAGAACAACAACAACCGAGATATAGAAGTGAGTCTGTTCATGTGTATGAACCTGCAAATCCATATATGTTTCTATGACCAACAGGTGAGTTATTGAGTAAAAGATACAGAGTTACTCAACATAAGGAAGGGATCTTGAAATATTTAAGTGTTTAGTGTTGGAGGGATGATTGCTATCTCTTCAAATCCTCCTTGCCCATCATCAATTAGCATGACCAATCTTCCCTGTTTGCCCAGATCTGTGCCTCTTTGAGCAATGAAAATCCTACATACCAGGAGACCCCTTAGTCCAAGGCAAACTAGAATGATTGGTCACCTTATCACCAATGTTTTGTTTCCTGGCAGATACTGGTGCGATGGCTGTCCTGGCTCTGACCTGTGTGAAGGGGAAAATAACAAGAGGGCAGAAACAAATAGATAGAAAGGATATAGAGAATATTGATAAACATACAGAGTCACTGGTAAACAAGATTCTGTCTCAGAAAACAGAAAATGGTCTTCTTGGAAACATATATAGTACAGGAGAAGCTATGCAGGTAAGTCAGAGGGTAAAATAGGACACAGAGAAGAGAGTCACGAAGGAAAGAAATATCTGTATCCTTTCTTCCTGGTCTCAGAAGATATTATCCACTCTGTTTCCTATATGAACCGATTTTATGTGATTCTTCTCCCCTGATGGAAATGTATTCTCCTCACCTTAGATCCTTACATTTCCATGTCCAGTGCTTCCATGAAGCTTTTCCTGACTACAACTTTTTTCTAATTTTAGAGTCTACTCCAACCTCCTATGTTGTTCTATCAAATGCAATTTCACCATATGCCATATACCAGTGTTTGGTGCTTGCCTCTTACTTCCCAAATTAGATTATGGTTGTCCAAGTGATAAGAGGCAGTGCCAGTAATACCAGCTAGTATTTATTGGCATGCTCATTAATGCACACAACAGCCCAGTGAGGAAAATATTATTAGTTCCATTTCCCAGAATAAGAGCATGAGTCATGGAGTAACAGTAACTTGCCTAACATTACAAGGCCAAAAAGTGATTCACATGGAGAGGGAACCTAAACAGTTGGTTTCAAAACTCATACTTGGCACCTACTCTGCCCTGTATACGTTTCTTGAAGTCTTAGGCTTCACTCACTGATTTACATGACTCTAAGCAGTAGATACAAGAAGAGATGAAGGGAGATTTACAAAAAAAAATTTCACCCAGTAGTATGAGTAGGGGTCTGCCAGGCCACCCCAGGATGAGAGGGCTTTCCAAGGGAGAGAGATCAGCAAGGACAAAGATCAGAGGCACAGAAGAACATAAGGTATTTTGGGAAGATCAAGGTGTTCAGTATGGCCAGTGAGGGTCCTTGGGAAAAAAACACAAGAAGAAGCTAGGGGTGTAACAGGGGTCCAATCACACAGGTTTTTGGTGCTGTTGAGGCTGTTGTCTGTCTTGCTGAGTTTGCACTTCATAAAACAGTGGTTGCCCATTCTGGCTGCACATTTGAATCACCTGAAAGAGCTTTCAGAAAACACTAATGTTTAGGCTCCACACCAGCCAGTTAACACAGAAACTTGGAGATGGAGCATGTGCATTGGTCTGGTTTTAAAATCCTACAGGTGATGTTTATTCACAGCAGACTTGAGAGCTGCTTGCCTACAAGACAGTTTTGAAGATGAAATGAAATATAATCCTTTTTTAAAAATATCCCACAAATGCTTGTTGACTTCTTGGATAACTTAAAGGGTCTTCAGGAGAAAATGGAAAGAGGAACCGTCCTTCCCTTAGAAACTACAGTGACGTCTGCAGGACCAACCTGTTTTTGTCCTTGTCTTACTCACTCTGATACCTTCCTAAATTTTCCTACCCCGTCATGCTGTCCCCTCTGGTTTACATTTGCTGCTTCTATAGTTTCTATTCAAGAATCTATTTGACTCCACACTGTTAAGGAAATAATGTCAGACACCTCACTCTGAAGCTCCAGGATCCACCAATGTGGCCCCAACCTCATTCTCTAGCCTGTTCTTCCACAATCACCCTGAGTCTCCCCTGTACACCAGTCCTCCCAGGCCATGAGGAATTCCCTGGGGGTTTTGAAGACAGTGTCATCAGAGACAGGCCATGCCCTGGCCTCCCCTACTCTAGCATCCTTGATCATGCTATTCCCTCTGGGTATAGTGCTCCTCTCCTGTCTCCTACTGAAATGCTGTCATTCCATCAAGGTCTACCTCAAGTACTGCCTTCTCCACCAAGCCTTTCCTCAGGGTCATGAAATGTTTATGTGCTCTTCTGAAAAGCCCTGGCACTAGATGATTCTCTTAAGGCATTCACCTTAGGAACTCCTTCATGATTAGTCTGTTAACAGCATTTATCAAGTATCTCCTATGTGACAGGTATTGATTGTTCCATATCAAGGCTAAAGAGTGAATATTAATACAGGAGTGAATATTTCTCTACCATTAGAGAAAGTCTGTTCTTATTGATGCCATTACAGGTTGTGTTATTAAGCAATTCCCCACCTCCCCTCCAACTAGTTTTTAAATTTCTTGGTGTCAGGAAAGGTATCCTAGTTGTCCAAGGTGCTTCCCCTTGTGGTCATGTCCAGTAAATATTTACTGAATTCATTAGATGTAGGCTTTCCCCCTATTTGACCTTTCTCTCATTCATTCTCATTCCCTTTCATTCTTTCTCTCACACATTAGGCTCTCTTTGTCTCACCCAACTATTACAACGAAAATCAATGGGTTTGTGAAAAAACACGGGATACAGTGCTCACAGAAATTTCTCAAGGAGCATTCCATATGCCAACTGCTGCAGCTCAAATCTTACCGGCCCTGATGGGAAAGACCTACTTGGATGTTAACAAAGACTCTTCCTGTGTCTACAGCTCAGGTAGAGTACTAAAGAGCAGAATACCCAAAGAATGTGAGACTAAGATGTCCTTAGGGACCAAAAGTGACCAAATAAACCACTAAAGCATAACAGTTCCCAAATAGAATGTGGTCCTCCATGTGTCACCAGTGATTATAACCACCTGAGCATTTGTTCTTTTTTTTTTTTCAAAGATTTTATTTATTTATTTGACAAAGAGAGATCACAAGTAGGCAGAGAGGCAGGCAGAGAGAGAGAGAGAAGCAGGCTCCCCGCTGAGCAGAGAGCTTGATATGGGGCTCAATCCCAGGACCCTGGGATCATGACCTGAGCTGAAGACAAGAGGCTTTAACCCACTGATTCCCCCAGGCACCCACTAAGGATTTGTTCTAACAGTGTAGTAGATGTTCTTGGTTCTAATACTGATAAACAAGGTAGATTTGATTCAATGATGTCTATCTCCCAAGAGATATTTTCTGATGGTTAGAGAGATATTCTGAGCATCATTCCCATTCTAAACAAAGAATGCTGTCTGACTCTCTGTTATGCACAATGAGTGAGCCCTCAGGGAGCTCAGGGGTATATGGGGGGAATATGGCAGTAGTATAAGAAAATTACAGCATGAATTATATATTCAAACAACAGATTGTTCAACAAAGGATAAAAGACTTGACTTTTATCTCTGACCACTCCTGGGTCAGACATTTATAAGTAGGTTTAGGGACCTCAGACAAAATGTTTAATATCAAACTTCAGTTTACTAATATAAAAAATACAAATGATAAAGTATCTAATGTGGGGTTTTGTAAGGACTGAATAAGATAAACCAAGTAAAATCATCAGTACAGCAATTGGCGCTTAATATGTTTTTAATAAACATTAAGAGATAAAAAAGCATCCAAAAAGGGAGGGAAGCATTATTGTATGCTGTACCAAAGCAAAACAAAAATAAAAACAAGCAGCAACAAAATCCCCAAAACTCAGGAGCCTCTGTGAGAAACAGGAGAAAATAGGGCAACTGAATTGCTAAAACAGCTGGGAGTGGGGCCAAACACATGCACTGACAAACTGGTGCCTATTTGGTTTAATCACAGAAGAGATCTGCCCCTTGGTTGATGATTCTTGCTCCTTGTAGCAAATCCTCCTCTATGTCCCTAAAGGAAAGGAGTCCTGCGGGAGGTACTGGATGGGTATGTAAATTCTAACACCTTTTTTTATTATTCTGAATACTAATTCTTCTCTTTCTTTTCCCTTTGCCAGATCCCTTCAACATCACCACTCAGGAATCTACACCAGTGACACCTTCTGTCTCACCCTCACAAATCCAAGTAAATTACTCTGTGGTAATCAATAACCAAGCAGATAACATCACTGTCTCTGTGGCAAATGGTTCTGTCTTCCTAAATGTGATGGAACAAGCTGAGAAGAAAAATCCAACTCTATTTTGGTATGTCTGTATGCAACCTAAGGTGAAGCTATTTGGTGAGTTTGAAAGACTCAGTAAGAACACATAAGCACCTGAATACAAACTACATTCAAAATACTTTATCTGTACCTTGCTGGCCATCTATATCTCATGGCAGAGATTTAAAAAAAAAAAAAAAGTGAGACTTTCCATCTTCTAGCACATCGTAGATAGTAAATTAATGTTCACTTAATGGGTAAATAAGGCCCAGGGATCTCTCTTCTCTCGGCAAAATTCCTTCAACAAATAGAACCTTAGCTCAGTCATTCTGTGTTTAGAACACTGGGTCATTATTTTTGAATCATTGACCCCTTTGAAAATCAGATGACTGTTCAACGATTCATTAGTTGAGCACTACAACAAAAACTTATGATGTACTATATGCTGGCTAACTGAACATAATAAAAAATTAAAAAATAAAATTTATAAATAAATAAAAATCAGATGAGTGCAGTGGCTGCCGATCCCAGACAAGTAAACATACACACAAAACTTGCCCTTTAAATCAGAGGTTTCACAAATACCCTGGGTCTCTCCATGCTCCCCCACTTTCAGATTCATGGACCCCTAGGGTAAGGTTCCCTGGCCTAAGAAGGTCAAATATTTCAAAATATTCAAAATATTCAAAATATTGACTTTGCCTCTGAAAGGTATGGTTCACTTGACTCCCTAAATCTAATCAGCATTTACTTTCTAGTCACATGAGGTAAGATGCCATAGAGAAAATTATATTTATACATATATTTAGTAAGTAATGTAAATATTATATATATGGAATGTAACTATTATAAAGGTTGCTTTCAAGGGCTCCCAAGAAGTCAGAGAAATATGGCCAGGGAATGTGAAACAGATACTGGCCAAGTCACTTTTTAATAAACAGAACATGAAATATTAAGTTGCTCTTTCCTGTTCTTCTTTCCTAAGAGAAAACCTACTTACTTATGATGCCTCTAGGATGTGAGGTTAACATTTTCTTCTGCTGCTTTTGTCTCTTCAACCTTTATTCCTTGGGGCAGAAGATTAGCAGTTGTCAACAACAACTGTCTATTAGTGTAGACACTAGTCCCTAGTGTCCACCATGAAAGGAGGCAGAGGCAGAAACAGGCTTCATTCCTCTAATTCAGCAGAGATTGCATGATGCCTGCATCCAAACCACCTGGAGTGTTTATGACACATGCAGATTCCTAGTCACCACCTATTTACCTACAGAATCAAAGTATCTGAGGATAGAGCCGGGAAATTTGCTTTTCTTGATAATGGCTTCATATGATTCTTAGGTCCACCGAAGTTTGAGAAATGCTCATTAAGGTTGCCCTTGAAAGTTCTAAGTTCCTGAAACCCATTTATTGTCCCCAAAGGTTCAAATCAGAGGAGACCTCATGGGGCCCCTACATCATCAGTGTTCGGGGCATAAAGGCTGACCCTAATGACAGGACCTACTGGGAGCTCCTGAGCAATGGTGAACCCCTGAGCCAAGGTAAGGGAGAAAGTGCTAAAAAGCCCCACAGAGAGACAATGCCCCAAACACCCCGATGTGAGTGTGTAAGCTTTGGTGGGGAATGTGCCGAGGTGTTGGGAAAGTGAGATCCATTATTTGGTGATTTGGTCGTTAAATCATTTGAGCCATTGGACACCTGGATGACTCAGTCAGTTACGTGTCCATCTCTTGTTTTAAGCTCAGACCATGATCTCAGGGTTGTGAGATCAAGCCCTGAGTAGGGCTCCATACTCAGTGGGGAGTCTGTTTGAGATTCTTGTCCTCTCCTTCTGCCCCTCCCCCTGCTTGTGCTATCTTTCTCTCTAAAATAAATAAAACTTAAAAAACAAAAAAAAAACAAAAACAGGTGATATGTATTAAGGAGCACACATGGTGTGATAAGCACTGAGTGTTATATGCAACTAATGAATCACTGAACACTATATCAAAAACTAATGATGTAGTATATGTTGGTTAATTGAACTTAAATAAATAAATACATAAATACATAAAATCATTTGATCCACTTCTTATCCTTCCTTTTAGGACCTGGTAGTTACATTGTCCATGCAGGAGATGATTTGGAGGTTCGTTGGAGCACCTACTAATAAATTCAAACCTTCTTTAGCTGGATTGAATCCTTTTGCACCAGACTTGCCCACAGACATTGGCCTCATGCCTTCCTTTTCACTCATCTCAATTTCAATAGGAGGGTCAGTAACCTCCTTCTATTTGTGTGACCAATTAAAGGACGACAGCAATACAAAAAGAGCATTTTCTAATCATTTCATTTTAAAGGGGGATTATTGATCGAGGTAAGACTACCACAGGAAGAGGAAAGGGAAAAGAGATTAGACCACATCTCTAAATTGAGTTCTACTCAAGGTCCCACTGCTAACTGTGTCAGTGAGTTTGGACAGTGGGTGGGAATGGAGACAAGGTTCTAGATCTAAAGTTGAAACAGCAGCCAATGAGATCAGGTAGAAAATCCATAGGGAGATAGCTCTCCAAAACCCAGATTTAAGGGACAAACCGAGTGGACATATTGACCTCAGAAAGTCAGTGAGTAGAGAGAAAAATACTGCTCTAAAGAAAGAGGGAAAGGTGAAACTTCTACATAAAAGACCAGTCCATAAAGTCTCAGGAATAATATTATCCCCTCCACCAGCTATCCCCCTCAGGTCCCATTTATTCTCCCACATGTATTTTCCTTTTACTGCCCCATAAAAATCACTCTGATAGTCATATCATCAAAATACACATGTAAAAAAATCACCTTTGCTGTTCATTTCAGTAGAATTCACATTTTTTAAAAAATCAGGGGCACCAAGGGGTGCCTGGGTGGCTCAGTCAATTAAGTGGCTGACTCTTGGTTTTGGCTCAGGCCATTGATCTTAGTATTCTTGCATCAGCGGTGTTAGGCTCACTGCTCAGAGGGCAGTCTGTTTGGAGATTCTCTTTCTCTCTCTCCCGCTGCCCCTCTCCCAGCTACCACTATCTCTCCTTCTCTGATTCTCTAAAATAAATTAATAAATCTAAAAATAAAAATAAATCAGGGATGACTGGGTGGCTCAGTCAGTTGAGTATCCCACTCTTGATTTCAGCTCAGGTCATGATCTCAGTGAGATTGAGCCCTGCAGTGAGCTTCATGCTGAGCACCAACACTGCGTGAGATTCTTCCCTTCTTCCCTCTCCCTCTGTTCCGTACTTCTCTCTCTCTCTTTCAAATAAATAAACAAATAAAATCTTTATATAAAGCAGACCCCAAAAGAAAGATATCTTCAGACAGAATTATATTATCAATGTCTCCCTCTTTCCTCCTGTGTTCCCTTCATGATACTCTTAGCTTCCTCACCTCCACCAGCAGCCCTGCTTCATAGTTAGGATTTGAACATTGTTTTCTGGTACTGATCCTCAACCCTTAGGATCAACTCCACCTATTCTTCATTAACTTGATATGACAGACCTCATAACTAGACAGCAATGGATTCTATCCCCTTGGGTCTGGGTCTCATCTTGAAAGCTCATTTAGAGACATCAGACCTCCGTGGTGCTGTTCACATGGTGCCGCAGCTGTCAGATCTGTTTCTAAACTCTATGAGTTATGTGAAATTGAGGGGTAATGTCTTATGGTGATAAATATGCAAAATATTATATAATTGCTATTCCTGACTATGATACACAGTGTGATCGTACAATTTATCATCCAACCACAACACTGTAAAGAGTGAAAGCAAACACTGTTAACAATTACACTCAAAAAGACAGATTAGAAACTGGTAATATCCTGGCCGGGGGGCGGGGGGGATAGTACATATGGTTGGTTTTGTCCATCAGGAAAAATAATGATGCTCAAGGAAAAAATAACAGGAAGTACTGACCCTGCAATGGACCAATGAAACTGAATCTCAAAATAACGAAGTTGGAATAGGTCCTTTTAAGATTGCAGACTCTCGCACAAAGATTCTAGGTCACTTTCAATAATTACCACTCAACATCAGTAATGCACACAATTTATATTAGACGTACTCTCCCAAATGTGGTATAAGGATATTCTAATTGGCATACTGACACGGAATCAAATAACAAATAATCACAGCATGAAAAAATCATTTCCTTTGCAATTCTCATTTAATTCCTCTCATTGGATCAAATATAAAATCTCAGTTTATGCCACTGTATTTCTAACACTTCCGTGTAGCACCATGAGCCTCCATTCTTAGCAGACAGAGCTCAGTTTCTCCCAACCATTGGTCCCATAGTAGAATATAGTAACATTGCTATCTGATAGGAATGCCTTTAATCACAGAGACAGACATGGAGAGAAATGAAGTAACATTCCCTTTGCATTCTACAGACATTGCCCAGGGAATCCTATCTCAGCCACACTTGCCTTATGAGAAGCTCTAAGGCTTAACACTACGACAGAACCGAGAGAGTCTGAGGGGAGAAACTTCCCTCTGCTGCCACCGCAGAGAATAATCAATACAAATAAACCTCTCAGATGTCCATTGAGAGTCTGGGTGCTTGGATGCCAGAAAATGAGGCACAGGAAAAAACAGGCAAATAAAAAATAAGTTTCAGGGGGCGCCAGGGTGGCTCAGTGGGTTAAGCCGCTGCCTTCGGCTCAGGTCATGATCTCAGGGTCCTGGGATCGAGCCCCGCATCGGGCTCTCTGCTCAGCGGGAAGCCTGCTTCCTCCTCTCTCTCTGCCTGCCTCTCTGCCTGCTTGTGATCTCTCTCTGTCAAATAAATAAATAAAA